TGTAATTGATAAAATGGTGATGTGTATTAATGTTAGTTCAACCATATATTTATACTGTCTGGGAATGTGTGGTTATAGTTCTGTGGGAGAAATAATTTGTCAGTGTTCACCAGCTTGTAAAAACCTAGTTGCGAGAGCTTAAACATCTAAATAAATGATGAAATGCATTTATCATGAGATTGTTTTGCTTAAGATCAAACAGCTTATATTTTAAAAACTAAATGAATGATTGCACTTCAGTTAAAGTATGTCCTCAATTGTTGGATTAAGTGTCAACTTTTTGTAAACAAATTCCCTTGTTAGTTATAAGAACTTAGATAATGAAATAATTTACTATTGTGTACTGAGGAGAAAGTGTTTATGTAGTAGAGGAAGGCATGGTTTGAAGCTGTTTTACCAGTTACTAGCAGCTTTAGGCAGCTTGATTCTGAACCTCAGTTTCTTTGCAAAAATTGATAATCACATAGACTGAAAGATCATAGTAAGTATTGCTGTTGTATTGTTACCCACCCAACTTATAGCATCTATAGACAGGAGAGCCCCCCACAGGATACCATTTGAGAGCCATCGAGTCTTTTCCAACTAATAACCTATGTTGTTGTTGAGTGCATTCGAGTCAGTTCCAACCCATAGCCAATCCTGTATAGAGTTTTCGAGGAGCAGCTGGTGAGCTTGAACCACCAACCTTGTAGTTCAGACAGCTTTGCAGTCTGGTGCATTAACCACAGCGCCACACCAGTACTCCAATAACCTCTGTGCAACAAAACAAAAGCAACTTGGTCTTGCACCAACTTCACAGTCATTGCTGTTAGTTCATTTTTGTAACCACTTTGTGAAGCCATATCATCTCATTGAGGGTCGTGCAATTTTCACTGACCCTCTCTTTACCAAGCATGATGCCCTTCTCCCAGAAAGTCGACTTGTCCCCCCCAGTAACATCCAAACTAAGTGACAGAATAGTCTTGCCAATCTCACTTCTAAGAAGCTTTTTGACAGGTTTGTTCGATGGAAATCTATAGTCAACACCATAATTCAAAGGCATCAGTTCTTTTATCTTTTATCTTCATATTCATTGTCATAGCTTATTTTTTAAACATTTATCTATAGGAGGCGATTGAAAATACCAGCTTGTGTCAGGCACACCTTAGCCTTTAAAGTTTCTGCTTTTTAACAATTTAAAGAGCTCTTTTGCATCATTTGCCCTATGCAGTATATCATTTGATTTGTTGACTGCTGTTTCCATGGGCAATGATTGTGCATCCATGTAAAATTAAAACTTTGACAACTTCAGTCTTTGCTCCTTTTATCATGATGCTGCTTATTAGTCCAATTGTGAGGATTTATTAATGTTAATATGTAGTCTATACTGAATGCTGTAGTTTTTGGATCTTCATCAGTAAGTGCTTCAAGTTTCTTCACTTCTGGTAAGCAAGGTTTTGTCATCTGCATATCACCAGTTGTTAATGAGCCTACCTCCAGTTCTGATGCTGGGTTCTTCATATATAGTCAAGCCTGTCCGATTATTTGCTCAGCGTGCAGCTTAAATACGTACAGGAAAAGGATATAACCCTGACACAACTTTCCTGCCTCCTGTTCTATGTACAGGTTATGCTAAGTGTTCTGGAATGATTTTTTTTTAATAGCAGTTACAAATGTTAAGATTTTTTTTTTTTTTTAAAGTGGTTGTCTACTTTGTGTTCAGTGTTTGAAGAATTTGTTTATATTTTTTAGTATCATTATAGTAGTCTTACAACCAAAGCAAAAGGGAGGAGAAACAAAATCATCTTTAGTTCTTTAAGTTTCAGATCTTTTGTGGCTATGGTGAGTTATCTTTATTTACTTTTAATTCTGTTTTGTAAAAATTAGTCTACTCTTGGAAATAGTTTTGTGTTAGTGGTTAACTATATACTATTACCACACAGCCCCTGAGACATAATTCATCATGATTAAGGAAAAATGTATTTTTTGTTAGAAAATTTTAGTTTGCAGTGTCAGATTATATACATGGTGCTAAAATCCATTACTTTATAACATGATAAATTTGCTTTTTTAGCCAGATATTTTGAGTCTTAGTGTAAGTAATGAGTAGTTGTAGGAATACCTGTAATAATACATCGTAGAAAAAGATAACTTTTATCATGTAAGAAAGTAATATGTGTTAAGGACTTAAATACAAGTAGTTATTAGATGGTGTTCTAAAATTTGATTACTTGGTTTTGGATCACCATATTCCTCAAATGGATGATGATGTAGATAGTGCTCAGTTTCCTAGGATTGCCTAAAACAATGTTGTTGACATATAATAATGATTTTTGGATCATAAGAGAAGTTGAGCTTGTAATTCATAGCAACCCTGTTACAAGGTTTCTGTGGTGCCAGTGGTGGGTTTGAATTTCCAGCCTTGGAGTTACCAGTGTTTACCATACAGCACCTACCAGGAACTGAGATTTTCTTTTTACTTAAGAATAGGTGCCATTTGTCATATTACAGCACACACATCCTAGTGGCCCTTTTCCTAGAGCAGGCAATGTTACTCCCATATCCTCACATCTCTTCTTAAGCCTCCAGTCCGTACACTTGGCCACATCTCTTCAAAAGCACTTCAAAATGATTTACCCTGGGTTAAGTGCCATTCAGCCAGTCTGATTCATAGTGACCCTGTATAGGCTGTAAATCTTTGCCTCATTTTTCTCCTATGGAGCGATTGATGGTCTCAAACTGCCAACTTTGCCTAATGTTTAGCCTATAGACCCACCACTGTCTACCCTTAGTTTTTACTGTAGGATCTCAGTTTGTGGGAATTAGTCATTTTAACAATTGCCAGGCATGTTGAGAGTATAGTAGAAAACAAAAGCACCAGATTTTGGTCACCAGTATTTTATTTACCATAATTAAAAGAATTCCCATTCCTTCACTATAATTTTAGGTACTGTAATTTGAGATACTTCAAGGGAAGTGTTAGAAGCTAAAATGACTTGAACTTTGATTCACACTTTTGTTTCTTATTAAATACATTTCTGGAAAATACATGAAGTTTAGTGTCTACCCCACATGTTTATACTATACATTCCCTGATTAATTGAATGAATATATATGTGAGTGTGTGTATATATGTGTGCCTCCTTACACCTGAACTGAAAATTAAAGTATGGTTTAAAAGTGTGACACAATGTTTTTGCATTGTTTGGTGCAACTTGTCCAAAATAGGAAAGAGGCATGAGTACAATGTTGGAAAGAAAGCCAAAGAAAACATGTATTTATTATTTCTGATTAAGTTAAGCAAATAGTGCATTAGGTTGTGAATGGAAAGGTAGACCAAAATTCTATCATTTGATAAGAATTGTCAGATGAGCCAGTTGATATAGCTGTTAAGTGCCATCGAGTTGGTTCTGACTCAAAGTGACCCTGTATAGGGTTTCCAATGAGCAGCTTAGTGAGCTTGAACCATCCACCTTGCAGTCCAACACATTAACCTGCAGCACCATACCAGGACTCAAAATGTAAAGCAATCTAGTATTAGCCCCAATTGTATATGAATTTTATTGGAAGCCTTTCCTCATCTAGCCTACAGACCTGATCTTACCCTCCAGACTTCTTTTTGTTACCCAAAGAACATCTCAGAGAAGCATGATTTCAGTCCCTCAAGGAAGCCTTAACTGCCATTTTGACAGGGTATAAATTGAAGAGTGCAAAATTCTTGATGTGAAGGATTGTAGATCAGTGCCAGTGAGACAGTGCTGACTCAGCAACCCTATACACAACAACAAAACAGCCCATTTCTGTACCAACTTCTTCGTTGCTTCATTTGAGCCTATTGCTGCTACCATTGTGCCAATCCATTGGAGGGTGAGGGGACTTTCTCCTTTCTCTTGACTCTCCATTTTATCAAATATGATAATCCTCCAGCAAAATGTCTTGAAGTATGAGAGATGAAGTCTAGCCATCCTGGCTTCCTGGGAGCATT